TTTGTTATGGCAGCCCTAGAAAACTAACACAGATTGTGAATTTCTCTGCCCTCATCACTTGAGATGTTAAAGCAGAGTATATGAGGTTATAAGGGGAATTCATAAACTAACTAAGAGTTAACTCAGACAACCTCTCTATTTCTTCCAGTCTCAAATTAATTCCATTTTTACCATACTTTTGTATGGTCTGTAAATGATATTTGAGGTTTTAAGATCATGTACTCACTATCACCATTATTATTTAAAATTGTTGCAGAAGTTCTGGCCAATTCAATAAAGCATAAAAAAAAATAACTGGGAAAACTCCTGGTAATGAAATGACTAAATTATCATTACACGCTAAGAAAAATAAGTTGTATAAATAGGAAATCCAAGGAAATCAAATGAAAAGGATTCCACTTTCATACTCATTCAGCAAAGTGGCTAGATAAAAGATCAATAAGCAAAAATAGTTTTCTCTATTTTGATATTAACAGTGTTAAAATGTAATTTGAAAAAAGATGCTGTTCATGGTAGCAACACAAAGCTTAACCTATGTAGATATGGCCGTAACAAGAAATGTTAGGACTTCCACGAGTAGATTTATAGAACTCCACCACGAGAAACAAAGGAAATGTACACTAAATGGAAACATACCATGTGTTTTACTGGAAAGGATGGATAGTGTGAAGATATCACTTCTGTCCAAATAAATGTATATATTTGACGTAATTTGATCTAAAAATCCTAATAGAATTTTTTGGAGAGCATGAAAAAATGATTTGAAAGTCCATTCCGTAATAAAATAATAAATATTAAATACCTCTTGATATCAGAAACCTGACTAATGAAGTTAAAGTGCAAATACAAATGGATTAACTGTTTGGAATAAATATGATTGAAAAAAGCCTCACAGTCTTATAATAAAGAGATTTTATGTATCATTAAGAGGTAAAAATCACAGTGGAAACACACTCAAAGGATAAAAACATATAATTCACAAGAAAAGACATACAAATAGCCAATGAATATTGTGATAAACAGATAAATATCCATTTAAAGATAATGACATAATATTTTCCAATAATTAAGTTGGCGTGGATTTTTTTAAGTGCAACAACCAATGTTGAAGGTTGGGAAAGCGCTTGGAAAAATAAACAGATGCTATCTTTCTAGAGAGAAATTTAGGCACATGAATCAATAGTCTTAAAAACTGTGATCCTTTGAACTCAATATTCCATGTTTAAGAATTTTCCGTAAAACAAAAGTGATGCTCAAAAGCATTGACATATGGAAAGACATCAATGAAACAGAACAGAGCCCAGAAATAAACTCATATATATGGTCAATTGATTTTTGATAAAAGTGCCAACGTAATTAAATGGGGAAAGAGTCGTCTTTTCAACAAATGGTGCTGAAACATCTGGACATCCACATGGAAAAAAATAAAGCGTTTACACCATACACAATAATTATCGAATCTAATAATTATATTATCATAATAATTATATTATTTAATTATTGGATCTAATGGCTTTTAGACCTAAATGTAAAAGTTAAAACTATAAGACTTTTAGAAAAAAAATAGGAAATAATCTTCAAGACTGACCGAAGCAAAAGTTTCTTAGCTAGGATATAAAAAACAGGGACCATAAAGGAAAAAAACTGATAAAATTGTATGTTTTCAAAATTAACAATGTCTGCTCTTTGAAAGACTCTGTTAAGAAAATGAAAGACAAGACACAGACTGGGAAAACATAGTCACAATACACTTTGTATCCAGAATATAGTAAAGAACTCATTCAACTCAATATTAAAATGAAAACTGCATGAGATAGCACTATATACCCACTACAATGGCTAAAATTAAAAAGACAGACAGTATCAAATGGTGGCAAAGATGCGGATTAACTAAAACTCTTGTACGTCGCTGGTGGGAAAATAAATGTAAAAGACAACTTTGGAAAACAGTCTAGCAGTTTCATATAAAGTTAGGGCTATGCCTACACTGAGCCACAGCCCTTTTACTCCTGAGTATTTATCCAAGAGAAATGAGTATATATGTCCAAATGAAGACTTTTACACAAACATTTATAGCAGCTTTATTCGTAATAGCTCCAAACTGAAAGCAATCCAAATGTCCAAATAATGGACAATCAAATATGGATAATTAAATAATGGATAATCAAATGGAAAATAATGGACAAATAGAAAATAAAAACAATATAACTATTACATGAAAAAGTAATTCTCTATAGAGGAATATAAATGGATAATTTCATACAATAGAATACTACTCAGCACAGAAAGGAGCAAACTACTGACTCAGAAAATAAAAAAGTATAAACACACTGTATGATTCCATTGATATGAAATTCTACAACAGGCAAAACTAATGTATAGGCAGATCAGTGGTTGCCTTTGACCAAGGGGTTGGTGGTGGTGCTGAGCACAAAGGGACTTAAGAGAAGTTTTTAAGGTGATGGAAAAGTTCTATCTATATCTTGGTTGTGGTGGTGGTAACACACGTGTATACATTTGTCAAAATTCTTGGAACTGTATTCTTAAAACAGTTTGATTCTATTTTATGTAAACTAAACCTCTTAAAAGTTGATTAAAATTTTGAAAGAAATGTATATGATTTATGTATAAGTGTGTTAATTATAGTATCATTCATAATGGCAAAAATATACAGTATATTTAATTTAATGGAAGCATTAAAATGTAATTTGTATGAGGAGTCCACTAAAATAATGTAAATAAAGAGCATTTGATAACAATATGAAAAACAAAATACTGCTAAGCAGGGTAAAGTGATATACTTTTGTAAAAAAAAAAATTTACATACACATTAAAAATTATTGGCAGGACATATACCAAAACATTAACTGGCTATCTCAGGATAATGGACTCTTGGTGTTTCTTCTTTTCTTCTTTGTACTTATTTCTGTGTTTCATTTTATACATTAAATCTACATTACTATTTAAAAAAATTAAACAATCCATGCTGTTGAAGAAAAACAAAATAAAAATAATAAGCTAATAGATAAATAATCAAAGTAATTTTCTTTAAAGAAAATACAAATGAATAATATTAACATTCAACCAAAAGTTCAACTTCATTACTAACTAAGCAAGTACAAATTAAACAACAGATGCTTTTGTGACTAAAAAATTAGCAAATATAAAATGTATGAAAACAACAAATATTTTTTCAGAATAAGAATATCTACTGCTGGAAAAGATACTTCCCTCACTTTGTTAAGACAATATAAATTAGTACAGCATTTCTGGAAAGCAATTTACAACATACACAAAAAGTCTTAAAATTCCTCATTCCTTTTGATGTAATCATTGCACTTCTGAAACACTAGCCTTAGGAAATTTTCCAAAATACCAACGGTGATGTATGCATAATGATGTTCACTACAGTGTTATTTATAGTACGATGAACTGCAAACAACTGAAATCTCTAAGAAATTAAGTGATTTTGATACATTTATTTAACAGCTTACTAACGTATTTAAAAATGATATGGACGTTAATAACATGGAGGGATGCTTACTTCTGTAATGTTAGGTTAAAATAGCTCCCAAATAAAATTCTGGAACTAATTACTGTCCAGACTAAGGTTAATGCATTCAAGCATCTTGCTATCCAAGGTAGAATCATTTAGTCTCGTTTCTGGTGAAACTGAAAAGGGTAATGAATTTTGGGAATCAAACTACTTCTGTGCCTGGACAGTAAACAATAAGGCATTTAAAAAATTTATATTTGTATATATGATGCCTAGCATGATACCTGGGACATGATGGTTAATGTGTTCATCACAATGAACAGAAATGAAAAAAATATTGGGGCTGCCCGGTGGCGCAGCGGTTAAGTGCACGTGCTCCACTGCTGTGGCCCGGGGTTCACAGATTCAGATCCCGGGTGTGCACCAATGCACCGCTTGTTAAGCCATGCTGTGGCAGAGTCCCATATAAAGTAGAGGAAGATGGGCACGGATGTTAGCTCAGGGCCAGTCTTCCTCAAGAAAAAAAGGGGAGGGTTGGCGTCAGATTTTAGCTCAGGGCTGGTCCTCCTCACAAAAAAAAAAAGAAAAGAAAAAAAAGAAATGAAAAAAATATTGAAAATGTGTACCAATGTGTATGAACATAAACATATACACATATTTACACACACAGGATATAAAGCAACCTCCCGAGTTAATCAACAGTATGTAACAAAGTTTCAACTATATGAGTAGAGAAAATTGGAATGAATGCAAATCTATTTTGCAGTTGTCAATAAATACAGATTTAATTTTTTGTGGGAAGAAGGAATAAAAGTGTCTACAGAAATGCAAGTTCTGTCCTCTAGCCCCCGGAGAAAAGAGTAATAGAAGGTGCTGTCCCTCATCCAATCAAGACTGGCCCCAGGTGGAGCTGTGAAAATAGAGAAAGTAAAGAAACAATACAACCTGTGTTACCAGTTGATACCTTGTGCATCGTTCATTAAGAAGACTCATCCTTAATAGAGCAGGGGAAGAGAGGGCAAGACATTCCCCTCTCTGCTTTGTGCTTCATCTAGAAGCTACTTCCTGTTGGAGGACATCCAGTGGCTGGGATGGGAGCTGGTCCAGGGGCAGCAGTGAGAACAGGCGAATAGGGTTCAAGACCTAAGTAGCTGAAGGGAAGTGAGCCTAAGGTGGGGGTGGGAGTGGGGGCAGATCTCACTGTGTCCAGTTTCTGAGTGGGACAGATACTAGCACCAGGGGCCATTGTCTGCAGGGAACAGACTGAGAGCTTTGAGTGAGCAAGTATCCCACCTGATCCCAGCCAGTCTCCTCCTGGGGAGCAAAGTGCCAGCTGTGGAAATATGTTCATGTGTATTTCCTTGTTAACAGCAACCTTTAATTCCAAATCTTGCAGGAGGCCAAAATATATTAAGACATAAATTGAGGCTTGTGTGCTAATACGTGGTACGTCCCCTCAATGCATGTTCTATGTAATAACGCAACATCGTTCCATGCATGTGCTGGACGTGTCCCTGTTCGGGCCTGTGCAGTGTGAGGACATCACTGAATTCCGTTTTTCCTATTTCCCAGGAAGCCACTAAAGCAAATGGTAATAACCTCATTTTGCAGCTGAGAGATCAGGGCACAGAAAGTTTAAGCAACTAATCCAAGTTCCCCAAGCAAGTGAGCCCTGGAAAATAAACCGAGCCCGGCTCCTTTTATTACCGCTACAGGGATGCATGTAATAGTCCATTTTAATCTAGTGTTCAAACCATTTTTAACATTATCTACGGCTTTTCTTTTAATTGAATAGGTTGTATAACAACCAATCCTTTAGTAAAATACTATATACTATAGCACTATAAACATTTAAAAATCAACCTTAACAATTCAACCATCTTTTCACCCACTAACATCTGGTTTCTAACATTTCTATTTTGCTGAAACAGTTTATGATATTGCTAACAATTACTGGTGGGTATCAGGCCATATAAATATTTAATGATGCCATTAATTTCTGAAAAAGAAAAAGAGAACCTTGACATTAGGTTTAAATGGATAAGGAATTTATTTCCCTGTATTTTGCACTGATATTTAATTTGAGGTTTTTGGACTGAAGCCTTAGATCCATGATTGATTGGAATCTGACACTGCTCTTTAGGCATTTCTGTTCACCTTTAAATATGGGCTTTTCCCTGCCTTGTGCAGCACATGAAAACTGGAACTTTCAACTCTCTATCAGATCAGCACCTGCTGACCATCCGTCTGTTGGATTCTTAGTTAACGTCCTCCCTCCTGCTCCTTTCTTGAATGCCTGGGAGATTTCACTTTACATTTGCTAAGACTGGTTCATTAACATACTAATTTTAAACTGTAATTATCTGTTGGTTCATATTGGTGGTTGAACCACAGTGGTGCTGATATCTTCTAACTGCAGGAGAATTTCACATCTGTTCTCGTCCCCTGGAGCCTCCAGCAAGAGTTACCTTGGCACTGGCAAGGAGGCAGTTTGAAAGAGATGTAGAGAGCTGTGTCTTAAGAAAAGCAACAAAGGCAGGCAGGAAGAATTGTAAATATGGTAAATAGACTCCACTGTAAAACTATTCATGATAATACCTTGTGGGGAAAAAACAAAAGCAATCAAATAGGAAGCACAGCAGGTAAGAGTCCTGTTGTCAGGCTGGGAGGATTTTAATTATGCAAAACTAATCTAATTCCTGGAGGATTTGCAATCTGCTGGCCCAAGTAGGTGGGAATTGGGGTGGAGTGGGTGATTCCTTGTTTTAGGATAAAGGTCAATGATATCTTTAGCCTGGAATGGCATCAACCAGCCTAGGAATGAATGCCCGTTAGTTGGCAGAACTGAGTACAATTCTCAGACTATAGGTCTAAGTATGAGAGAAAGGAAAAAAAAGGTAAACTAAGGAAAACAGAAAGGATTTAAAAAAAAGAGAATAGGAATAAAAAAATGGATGGGATAAAGGAAGAGAGCGAGGGGAAGAAAAAACACGTCCTGGAGAGGAGGTGTGGTATTTTTTGAGCTTGACTACACACAAGTGACTGCAGAAGGGAGATAAGAAGGACCATTCACTGAATGTTTCTTACGTGCCTGGTGATTAGGGTCCCTGGATCACATGGGTATTATCTGCATTGTACAGATGAAGAAATTGAGGTTTGGAGAGATCAGAATCTGAGTTTGAGACCTGTTGTTTAAGTCCATACTCTATGTCTTTTCCATTATGTGGCGATGTGGCGCTGTTTTTCAATATCTCAGTGAGATAGAGAGATGAATAAGATATGAATCCTTTCTTCAAAGAGCTCATGGCCTAGAGTACAAATAGTAAAGCAGTGTCATCCATGTGCTACAGAAACTCGCCTCAGTCAACTGAGGGCTCTGGCCTGCTTACAGAATCTGTCTTATGGCGTTTGGGGGAATTCACTAGGTAACATTTCACTTCTACGTGAATGCTGCCCGTAGGCACGCACAGAGCTGGCTTTCGTAGGGAGCAGGTCCTGCGGCTGCCCATCACAGGAGAGAAGAGGAAGTGGGGAACGGTCTGTTACTCTGGTGTAGGGCAAGGCAAGCATGGAGGAACGTTAGGAGAATTCTCCGCAACGCAGAGGCTACACTATCATTTTCTAGAGGCTCTTTCTTTATTTTTAATATATTCCAGACTCAGGTCCTGACTTGAGTAAAATTATAAAGTTGGCCCATAGTGTCCTATCACCTCATGGCTCCCACCCACAGTTTCCACTACTGGGAGAGTTACAGGAGATGCAAAATTTTTCGTGAGTTACTTGCCTACTCCATTCCCTCCACCCCCAAATAACCTAAATAAATTAACCTGAGGAAAAAAAATTCACCATGGAAGCATAGCAACCATGAGGCCAGAGGGGCAGACGACCTCCTTGACAGAGAATCTGCAACGCCTCCAATACGGCGTTAAATGCTGCTGCCTTTGTCTACATATGAGGAGTAAGTCGCCAGGTGCTAAGAACAAAAAAAGTGACAGATCTTTAAATCTTTGAGCAGACAAATAAGAGCTTTAACAATGGCCAACCAAAGGGAAGATAGAGAAGTTTAGGAGGGTAAACGAACCTCTCCTCTATTCTGAGTAGAGGGTGGTAAAGCAAATGAAAGGTAAAGCAAGGATGTGCTATTGACAAACTAATTTGGAAATCATTTAAGAAAAATTGAGCTTCAGCTCTTATTTATATCTGCTGGAGAGAATGGGCCATGTTCTCCCTCCTGTGTTAAATAACAAGTATTTAACCCAGGAACTTAAAGTCCATTTTTCTTTTATATCTCCAGGACCCAGGGACTGGGTTGTTAATAATCTAACTAATTGAGTAAAACTTAATGCTTCAAATCTAGAAGCAGGGAAATAAAAATTCAAGATTTCCTGTAGATATGGGATACATAATATTTAATGCTTCAGAGATCATTAGTAAAAGAAAATATTACAGGCATGCACACCCTCTGAGAGCCTAACGAATGAACATCTCCCAGCTGCTGTTGAAAAATCAGCATCAGCATCAGCACCAATTTGCAGACAAAGCACAGCTGACAGATGTTTGAAGGGATAAATCAGGCTGTACAAGGATTAAAATAATAAGTCCCCAGTGCCTTTTCAAGGCAGAGGTGCCACAGCAAACTATTTCCAGCCACTTGAGAACAAATGAGGGACGGATCCTGGGGGTCATTATCTAACAGCCTAGTAGGTGTCTGAGTGGCATAGTACTAAAACCTTGCACAGGTTCTAACCACCCCAAGTTTTAAGTAAGAATAGCTTTTATCATTACCTCTCTGTTTTAAGGGAGTCTCAAGGAGTCTACTTTGGTTACAGTGTTCAGGACATGATGTGTCTAAATGTGAATCAGGCCAATAAAATGAGACACAAATGAGTGATTCTTTACGTACATGGTAATGGATGCTTAGCATGGTGATACAGCTATTATAAAAAAGGATGGCAAACCACCTCCTAATTGAGAAACATGTACTTATTGGGACTCTATTATGTGTCTATTCCTATTTATCATTTAACAAAGTGGGTTAGGGAGACTTTTTTTTTTTTGAATGAAGGACAGATTGTTTCTTTTTTTAAATTTTATTTATTTATTTTTTTTCCCCAAAGCCCCAGTAGATAGTTGTATGTCATAGATGCACATCCTTCTAGTTGCTGTACGTGGGACGCGGCCTCAGCATGGCCGGAGAATCGGTGCGTTGGTGCACGCCCGGGATCCGAACCCGGGCCGCCAACAGCGGAGCGCGCGCACTCAACCGCCAAGCCACGGGGCCGGCCCTAGGGAGACTTTTTAAAAAATATAAATAATTAGGCTTCATTCCAAGCTTATGCAACCCTTGGGAGCTTCACTCCGGATATGACTTTATTACATCACTTACTAAATTGCATTGTAATGATCTGAATGCGTGCTAGCTACATTCCCTTTGCCCATAACCGATGTGAGCCTATCGAGGGCAAAACCTGGATCTGAGTTACCCTGTGGCCCACAGAACCTTAGACAATGCCTGTGATATAGCATATTTGATTAAGGTCTAGTATTTGCCTATGTGTCATGGTGTAACGGTTAATTTTATGGTCAACTTGACTGGGCGATGGGGTGCTTAAGATATTTGGTCAAACATTATTCTAGGTGTTTCTATGAGAATGTTTTTGAATGAGATTAGCATTTAAATCAGTAGACTGAGTAAAGCAGATTGCTCTCTTTAATGTGAGTCGGGGGCCAGCCCCGTAGCTTAGCAGTGGGGTGAGCACGCTCCGCTACTGGCGGCCCAGGTTCGGATCCTGGGCTGGCACCGACGCACTGCTTGTCTGGCCATGCTGAGGCCGCATCCCACACACAGCAACTAGAAGGATGTGCAACTATGACATACAACTATCTACTGGGGCTTTGGGGAAAAAAAGGAGGAAGATTGGAAATAGATGTTAGCTCAGAGCCGGTATTCCTCAGCAAAAAGAGGAGGATTAGCATGGATGTTAGCTCAGGGCTGATCTTCCTCACAAAAAATAAATAAATAAATAAAAAATAAAAAATAATGTGAGTGGGCCTCATCCAATCAGTTGAAGGCCTGAATAGAACAAAAAGGCTGACCCTCCCCTGAGTAAGAGAGAATTTTCCTGCTGGACAGCCTTCTAAGTGGAACATCAGCTTTTTTCCTGCCTTCGAACTTAAACTGAAATATTGGCTCTTCCTGGGTCTCGAGAGAGCTGGCCCTTGGACTGGAACTACACCATTGGCCCTCCTGGGTCTCCTGCTTGCCAACTCACTCTGCAGATCTTGGGACTTGCCAGCATCCATAATCACGTGAGCCAATTCTTATAATAAATGGTCCTGACCGAAAAATGTCTTCAGGCTATGAAAGTGTAAAATACAAGTAGATACGTAAGAAGTCCCATGGAAGGCAACGACTGACAGACAACCCAGGCTCTCTAAGCCCATGGTTCATTACTTTGGCTTTGTGTTAGAACCAGTGCTCCTTAAAGTATGATCTACACACTGTCACCAGTCCAAGACAAAGACTGCTGTGTTTAGAAACTTTTATAGCAATTTGACATTGCAACAACATCCAATCATGTGATTTTTCGT